GCATGCCTTAGAAGCTTGGATCTGTAATTTGGAGCCACTACATGGCTTCAAAACATTCTGTATGGCTTATGGACTGAAGGAACTCGGCGAATCGCAAGATCAACTCGACGAGTCATATGAAGATAGGCCTGGACTCGACGAGTTGGATGAACAACTTGGCGAGTCCGATGTAGATTGCCAAGGAACTCGATGAGTGATATGAACCACTCAGTGAGTCGGATGATTTTTACCCAATTTATGTATGCACGTGTAACCGTCGAGTTGCAGGAAGGAAACTCGACGAGTGGCCTTAGAGTTCAATCGTAAACCAAAGGAACTCGACGAGTCACTCCGTGACTCGACGAGTGGGCAAGTACTTCAAGGAACTCGGCGAGTAGCCGAGGGTAGTCGGCGAGTTAGGGTCAACATGGACTGTTGACCTTGACTGATGACCTTGATTTTAACCAGGGTTTGATTCGTGGCTTTTAGGGTACCTTGAAAGGTTGAGAACTTATGGGTATAATTATATTATGGTAATAGATGGTGGAGTTTTTGTCAGCGATCCGAGAGTTGGAGTTCATCTACCGAGTCAACATCTGCAGGGTGAGTTATTCTCATTATATCAATAGGGTCTACGGCACCAAGGCCGACCCTCAAGTTGTTATTGTTGTGATGTGCTACATGTGGTTATGATCTAGATCGGAATCAGGATAGACAGTATACTATGATCTTATGATCTGTAGGGCTTGGTATGTTAGTGACCTGCTAGGTCGGTACTCTAGTTACGAGAGATTTATAAGATTGATGATCAGTAAGTCAGATATGTTTGATGTTTGTATATGCCAATATATGATAGTTATGCGCACATGGTTATTTGCATGTTGGTTGGGTTGAGGCGGTCCTGCTTTGTGCTGAAGGCCAACATACCCTATGAGCGGTCCGGGGAGACTGTAGGCCCACATGGCAGTCCAGTCATGCCGAAGGCTCGGGATAGGATTAGATATTGTCTGTTACTGATATGGTATTATCAGCGTGGTATTGGTATTTTGGGAGTAGCTCACTAAGCCCTCGGGCTTACAGTTTTCAGTTATTGTTTCAGGTACTTCAGGAGATCATGGCAAAGCGAAGGCCTGACCGTACCGCTCCTCATCCTTTCGATCTAGTTATTGGGACACTCTGATAAATAATGATTTGAAAACGTTTTGTAAAAAAATATTATTTGGTTTTATTTATGATTGAAAAAGTTTAAATTTGGCATAAAAATTTTGGATGTGACTGGTTAACCACACACGCTCAACTAACGACTTAGCAAGGTGCAAAGTGCAATTTCCATGGAGTAGCACCATCTTCACGTTTTTCCTAAAGTATCTAAGATTTGGGAATTTATAAAAGTTTAGTTACTTTGTAATATTATTATACTTATTAATGAGCATTTATGTCCTATCCTACCCATTCGGATAACGACCCTCCACTAGTCAAGAGTGCGGTGGGTAAGAGTAGATACCCAATGGTAGTCATATTATAGGTGGCTTCCATAAACACCCCTTATAGACTAGCTTCGTGAATGAGGCCCACTAATGGTAAGTTGTCTTGTATATATATATATATATATATATATATATATATATATATATATATATATATATATATGTATATAAGTATTAACTTTAATATTATAATAGCATAGAGTTGAATTTTAAACTTTTAAATTCTATGGATTGGAATTAAAGTTTCATAAATGAGACTTCTCAAATTCCAAAACATGAAGACAAGTTTTAAAACTTTTCAAAACCCCTTGAGTTATTGAATTTATGTTACTTAAATGTGACTTTCCAAGTTCCATAACTTGAGGACAAGTTATGTAACTATTCAAGACTTTTGGAATTCTATAACTTAAAGTTTTAATGTTTCATGAATGAGACTTTTCACATTGCATAACTTGAGGACAAGTTATGAAACTCTTCATGAACCATTTAGATCAAATTTAACTAACACAATTAATCATATAATTTATCATCTAACAGTTTGACCTAATACTAATCATATATCAACTTAGCTTTAAATTTTACAAATAATTAGTGTTTCATAAAATCAAGTAATTATCTTAAAATTTGACAATCATCATGTTATTGGATGGGGATAATCATTACCATATCATTAAAATCGAATTTTATGAACCAAAACAGTTTGTGGTAATGATCCTAATCCAAAACATGCCAAATACTCAAAAATTATGCTCACTGACGATCCAACTCGTCGAGTGCACTTATGAACTCGACGAGTTCATCTGCATAAGGCACCTACTCTTTGAGTTCAATGATGGACTCGCCGAGTAGGCCTTGGCAGAATCCAAAATTGTAAATTTTCAGCTTTTGAAAATTACACAATTGCATCAATATAATAGAAAACACCAATGGCTTTGATACCACTGATAGGTTCTATGTACTCTAACATTCCTATGGTGCACATACAACCCTAATGCTTTGGATCTAAGTTTTATCTAATTATACATGCAATAAACATTTTTCAAAGCAGGAAGCCTAAACTAGCATGCAAGGTGATATTTGAATCATAAAAACTAGTTAGAATATTACCTTGTGTAGTAGCTTGTAGAACTTGGCCTTAAGAAAGATTAGCACCTCAAGTGTGATACCTCAAATTGTTCACAAAACACTAAGAGGAATTGGATGAATATAGAAGAGGTTAAGGAGACTCAAAATTGGTTATGCCTTCTTATGCATGGGGTCACCAATTTTGGACACCAGGGTACATATTTATAGTGTAGAATTCTAAGAGTCACATGTAACCCTAATTCACACACTTAGGTTTATGATCCAATTGATTTGGACTACCACTTCATGGATTAAATCATAAGCTTATCCCATCAACAAATCAATCATGGATCATTGGCCCAATCCATATGTATGATTGATTTACATAATCAGTCCCCGTTAATTCAATTAGTCTTTTTTGATCACTAAATTAATTCGAAATTAATTCTTGGTCAATACTAATTAAATAATATGATTTCTCAATTAATATATTATACTTAAACCATAAATAACCTCTTTCTCAAATGTCCACCCTATCAAATTACTTTGATGAATGCAATCTAAATGGACCATGCTACTATCGGGTCAAGTACATACCAATTATAGTTATGGGCTTAGACACCTAATCTAACAGTTCTTACAATGAAAATAATTACATTCATAGCCAGAATCACCTAAAACCCTTTCTCCTTTTTCTCTTCATCAGTTTGAGAGTTCTTGAAACCCTCATCTCTAGCCTTTTTAGAATTGGAATTTCTACCCTTCTTGTATTTGTTCCAAAAGCGAGAGATGTTTTTCTTGTAGAACTTTTTAGGGTTGGAAACTAGTAATGCCTTGTCTTCGGTGGATATTTCACTATCAGATAGATTAGATTCCGAATCTTCTTCAGTCTTCTTCTTTCCCTTTGCTACCAATGCTAGGGAACTTACACCAAGGACAATCTTTACCTCCTTCGTAACCTCATCCTCATGGGATCTCAAAATTCCCACAAGCTTCGCCAAAGAATAACTCTTGAACTGTTCATGTACCTTCACAGTAAACACAATCGCTTTCCATTATGACTTAAGGCCATTCATAAACATCACTTTCTATTCAATGACCCTTCTCTCAAGATTATATTTAAGCATCCTACTCAGCAAGTGGTTAAAGAAATTGAACATTTGATCAAGCTTTTCATCAGGTTTCTGAATTAATGAACCAAACTCAGTTAGAAGAGTTGTTTGCAAAGAGTTTTCTAGATCTGCATCTCCAAAATACAACTCCTTCAGTCTATCCCATACTTCTTTAGTAGTGGTACATGAACTTACGAGATGAAAGGTATCCGGTGGAAGAGCAAACCGGATAATTCTCATCGCCTTTATGTTGCTTAAAAACTTATCCTTCTCATCCTGAGGAACATTAGTGTGTTAAAAAAGAAGTGCATTATAGTCAGCCTGAATTTTGATGAACTTCCTGGTTGCACTGTGCAAAAAAGTCTCCTCAGTCATTACTTGCCATATTGTTGAACCATGTTCTTCAATACCTAGAACATAGTCTTCGAAGTGCAACGTCCAGACTTGATAATCCTGATGAAAAAGGATTGGAATCCTGGTTGTGGATCCAATACTACTAGAAAGATTGAACAATAATGTATGAGGATATTCGTTCTGCATGATGTTAAAGATTCACAACACACAGATATAGAATCAGATGTGTAAAACGAAACTTCGAGTTTTAGGGTAAAAAAATCAAAGATCTAGATCTGACGTCTACAATCGATAGAAACGAAAATAATATATCCAAGAAAAAATCAAAAACCCTAATCGAACTCGACAAAAGAGTAGTGACTAAGTTACATTATCTCCCACTTTGATATCAACTGTTGAAACAATAAAAACTTTGATCGATAGATTCTATAAGCGATGTGAATAAATAACAAGAACAATAAAGATCAAATAGCGCTGAATGCTTATATTGAATAGCTTTAGAAGTGTTCAACGTGAACTTCTCTGTAAAAGCTAGGTAGGGCGATACAATCGTTAACCCTAATGTTACATACACACAATATTTATAGTCTAACCCTAGAAAGCAATAATCACGGATGGACAGGCCCAAACAGGAATAAATGAGACTACAAAACATTTGACACAACACTTTAACAGCCCAACAATATAGAAGTTGGTCCACCAACGGGTATCATCAATAATGTATCTGATTGCGAGACTAATTATGATGAGGATGATTCCGATTATGATAGTGATGTGTCCCTATACACTGAAGTATCCGAGGGAGAAAATGATTAAAAAATCTTCACATTTAAGTAGTAAAATAAGGTTTGTATTAGTTGTAATCATATCATATTATATATATATATATATATATATATATATATATATATATATATATATATATATATATATATATATATATATATATATAGTGTTATAATTTTTCAGGAAGTCATTTTTTTGGATTGCATTACTCCATCTCATGGCTGCTGTGATGGGCTATGGAGGTGACGATGGTGACGAGCCACCACATCCGTTCGGTGGAGGTTTTGGTGATCACTAAATCGATTGTAATTAAGATTTATTCTAATTCATTGTATTTCATATTGTATGTATATAAAAAATTATTTTGACTAATATTTTTTTTATGCAGCGGTGCCTCCAAAACGAAGAGGCATGGCAGTAACCAAAAAAATGTACAAGTTATTTGCAGCTAATGGCAGACGGCCTCTGAAGATAGTATTTGACATAAATACTCACATGTCGATTGGGGAAGTATACAAATGTTTCATTTGGGAGGTTGGGAGCTATATGTGGCGTGACATCGGTTTCGATAAGGACACATGGACTGACGTTTCTGAAGCCGAAAGGGTTGGCATGTTCCAATATCTTTCGGTAAAGTATTTATAAAGTTATATATTAATATGTTTAATTTTGATTTATTTTTAATTTCTCTATTTTTTTATATACATGGTTTGATTTTGGAGCGATTATAAATGATCTTATGGCTACAGTTTATTGGGTGTCACTTAACAATCAGATATGTGCGCAATATAGAGGCCGCAAAAATGTTGCAAAAACTCTTTTGACTGGTTTTGAAGGGAATGTGGAGGCAGCAAGGGCTCAAGCCCCTGCGGGTATGGATCTGCAGTGTTGGAATGTTGCTATTGACCACTTCTTAACATAAAAGCATCAAGAACGATCCGCTGGAAACAAAGAATGCCGAAAGAAGCAAGTAGTTAAAAATCATGGAGGGATGTGAAGCTACGGTAATGCTTGTTTCAAGAACGTAAGTTACAGTAATGCTTATTCAGTTATAATATATTTTTAATGTTTATTAAAGTATAACATATTTTTTAATCTTAAACTGAATTTGAATAAACTTGAAGCATTTCATCGCGGGCATGTGAATAAAAAAGGAGAAGTTTTTGATCCTTTGGTTGAAGACGAATATGTAAGTTATTATTACTTAAAAATGAAGTAGATTGTTTGTTTTTTTGGTGTGTTATTTGTAACGTATATTAACAATCTTTGTGAAATATAGAATGCATTAGCTGCTGAGGTTGCTCTACAAACTCATCACATAGACGACTCCGATGGTGATCCAGACACCATTGATTGGATCGCAATATTTGAGAAGGTGTTGGGTACTCAAAGGGGGCATGTGAGAGGCATTGAGCCTAAACCTTCTTCAACAGTGGGTAAAAGTGCTCAATCCCAATAGCAGTCACAGTCACAAGCACCGCAACCAACACATGTACTTCTTTAATTTTTAAAGAATTTGGTAGCTTTGCTATATTGTTAAGAACTTGATGCATTTATAGTAATTTTTGGTAGTTTGGTAGTTTGTCAAATTGTTTTTTTAAATTGTTACCGACTTAATTGATTTGGTGGTTTAATATTTTTTAATTTGTTACCGACTAAATTCATTTGGTGGTTTGATGATTTGATAATTTGTTAAATTGTTAATGACTTAATGTGCTTGTGATTTAATTGTGGTATGTTGATGTGAATGCTTTTGTTCAAAACCCGGCGTTTGTGACGGGCATTGGAGATGTCATCCGTTCGTTTAATAACCAAGTCAACGACGAGGAAAACAACGATGAAGAAGATGCAAACACATAATACTTCTTGTTTTATGTTATGGATGATGTTATTTTGGATTTATTAGATAGTTTATGAATAATATATTAGATGTTTATTTGTGATTTATTAGATAGTTTAAGTAATGTGGTATATTTGATGTTTTATGTAATGTGGTATATTTGATGTTTGATGTAATGTGGTATGTATTTTTATTAAAGTTGCATTTTATAATACATATACAAACTAATATAATAAATAAATTGTTTTAAAAAAAACCATTACCAGCGACATCTTTAGGGATGACATTGACCAATTGCGACGACACCTGATTCTGGGAAGAGTAGCTATAGGTAATAGAGACGATGTCAATAGCGACGATAATAACCATTTAGCGATGATGAGATTTATAGACGACACCATTTGCGACAACAAATGAGTATTAGCTACGAGGTATATCGATGACCCTTTAGCGACGACATGTTGCCGCTAAAGGTAATAACGGGGACACGTGGCATCAATTGCGACGATTTTTGTCGTCGATAAAGGGTACGTTTTTTGTTGTGAATAGAGAGTTCAACCAAAACCAGAGCAATGTCATATCGCAATCAAATCGCGGAAATTGTATGTGAAACGAAGAAAAAGTAGGGTCCATTTGAAAATTATTGTATTGATTAAAACGTACAGTTTATTTTTCAAAAACCATATAAAACCATAAGTTTATTATTCAAAAACCATATAAAACCATAAATACACAAACAACTAAACACAGAAGAAATGATTTAGTATTTTAAAAACAATTTTTAACAAATGATTTAGTATTTTAAAAACAATTTTTTTTTCCAGAATACTTCTCCGGTATCTCATACTTCACTAAAAAATGCACACAAAACATATAAAATTGATTATTTTTATCAAAAGGATGTCTTTTTAAATTTCTTAATTTCCCTATATAATAATGTAGATTATTTTTATCAAAAGGATGTCTTTTTAAATTTCTTAATTTCCCTATATAATAATGTAGACTTAGGTACCCATATGGCTATAATGTGTGTACATTCTTGTTAGTAGCTTTTAATAAAAAAAATAGAGCATACCGGTATCTCGTACGTCACTCAGCCTTCACGTCGGGATTGCTCGACCATACCGGTTGCCTTAAGATTAATTAAAAAAGTTACAGGAGGCCATCTTAACTACAAAAGTTATTATATTTATCCCTATTAAATACTAATAAACAATTAATTTGCATTTTTATAACCGATTTGTTGCCTTGTGAAAAAGGTTCAGCAGTGGATTAGGTTTACTGAATCTCCCCATTTTATATGCTATAAACCGCAGGTCGTGTACGTGTGTGTATAGCAAGACATAAACTTACAATAGAATATATGCATACACACATGAAAATAAGTGAAACATTCATATATATTTCTATTTCATGCAGACATGCTGCTGTGAGGTAACTAGGGTTGTATAGTTACTTGGTTAGGGTTGCCTCATCTATACACGTGTAGAACAAATTATGCAAATATAGATATTTATTGGGTTTAGATTATATATGATGAAGATGTATTACTTAATTAATGCCAAGATGAAACAGAGAAAAGGGGTTGCTTTTGCCAACCCAAGAAGAAAGAATCATTTACAACCTGAAGATTGTAACCTTCAGAAGGGTAATGAAGTCGCAAAAGCAGCTTGGCTTGTGAAAGAGCAAATGGGCTTAACGCAATGTTCCGGAATCCAGCGATCCTCATTATCGTCTCCCATGATAGGAATCTCTCGTGTCTCTCTCTTCTTTTCTCTCCCTCCGTCGCCACTATATCGGTAATCTCTCTGCCAAACCATACCTGCTCCACCTCCATCCTTTCCCGGCTGTTAGGAGGCAGTGTTGCCTCCAGTGAGTCATAGATGGCGGAATAATAGTTCAAAGCCTCCTCGAATCTTGATATAAATATTGGATGGTTGTGGTTTGCTTCTTTTTCCGCTAAAGTAACCACTTTAGGGTTCATGGCTTTTATCTTTCTTAATAACAAGCAGAGTTTCTCTCGGTCTATTAGGAAACGGTGGAGGTAGAGGACGCAGTTGACGGCTAGGATTTCGTTTGGGAGGAGGTGAACCGCGGATAGGTGGTCGATTACATCGTCGACGGAGTGGTTGACGTTTGTTTGAGGCAGTAGGAGGGGAAAGAATCGAAATCTAAGGCCGAGTGACTGGGCGAATTTGGAGAGACGGTTTCCGGTTCTATGGAGGATATCAAGGTTAGTACCTGTGGCTGTGATGCGGAGGGTTGGTGGCTGGTGGCGGTCTACGATGGCTTGCATTAAAGGCGGCCATTGGACACCGTGCATGATGTCAAAATCGAGTATATGAATGTCATGAGGATGTTGTTGTTGAAGACAATGGTTTTGATCGATAGCATCCAAGATTGCTTGATTAGCAGTGAGCTGACTAAATCTAATAAAGGGTGTTATTTGATTCAGCGACAAATATGACGACTGAAGAATAGCATCATCATTTTGATCAAGGTAATTAGAGGAGTAACTAGAGCGAATGCTACTAGGTGTACTCGGTAGTGGTTGAAGGTGGAAAAGAAGGCGTAAGGAGAGGGCTTTAGTAAAAGAGTGGATTAATCTTTCAGATGAATCGCCGTAAGGTGAAGAATTGGAGGAGAGGATGGTGGTAATACGGTGGGCGGCGGTGTAGTCAGAGCGGGAAATGGAGTGTGCACAGCTTAAGAGAAGATGACGCAAGTAGACTGATGGTGGGTTGTAACTACTCAACCTGCTCATCATCTCAACTTCTTGATGGTGGACTTGTTGGATCTCGTGGTTGTGGTGCTGCCGTAAATGTTCGACCATTTCTGGTGGTTGCTGTCGGGATAGATCTGCTTGTAAATGAACTTCTTCCTGATGTTGTTCTTGATGATGACGATGATGAGGTGAACAAGAAGATGAACCCAACATCTAAAGAAACTTCGTTGAATTAATCTTATGCTGGTTCTTAGGTCTATAACCTGTTGCTCTGATTTGATAAACCTAATTAGCTTCCTTCAAACTTAGATCCACCGTAACTGTGATTCCATGGGGCAGTGGAAGTAAAACACCTGAAAAAGATGAAGAAGAAGAATGATTGCGACAGGGAATAGCGTGTGTGGAAGCTAAAGGCATACATACAAATCAGCTAGCATAAAACAGCTTAAAGGGAAATGTAGCATCAGTATACCTTTTCCACCCTCATGATATATAAAGTTGTATGTTTAATAAAGTATCCAAATTCTTATATATAATTTTTGAAAACATGGGGCAACGGATGTGCCACTAAATTGTCGCCCCTTAGTGGTGACATCTCCCTGCTAATATGCTTCCCCCTAATACTTTGTCACATATATTCCGATGACACCATTAATATGTCGGTGTTGCCCTATTGAATTTCTTAGCCCGTAATGGTTTCATCCATACATCGCCCCTATTGGTCTCGTCTCTATTGCTAATTGTTGCCACTAACAAAGTTATCAATACTATTAATTTATTTTTTTAAATATTATTTTTCTAGCATACGAAGAACACGGTAAAAGCATAAACAATTAAAAAATGCAGAAAACAACAGAATTATGAAAAAAAAAAACTAATACAAAGTATAATGTCAAAGTTATTTGTTACACAAAACATCTACGCAACATAAAATAAAACATAAAACTACACGCGCCATTGTCGTCACCCCAATTTGTCATCAATGTTTGTTGGGATATTTAGTGGGTTGTGTCAATTTTGTTATGTATGTATCTAGTCTTTATTATTAACGGATTGGGCATGTCCATCTGCCCTTATGGTGTTAGGGTTAAACTATAAATAAATCATGCATGTATCGTTTTAGGGTTAATGTTTTAGTTGCCATACGTATCTTACAGAGAAGTTCTATTCGAACTCTTCTAAGATATTGAAAATAAAGCATTCAACACCCTTTCAATCGTATTCAATCTTTGTTCTTATTGTTTGATTCCTTTAAACTGTTTTCAATCTATCGATCATTATTTCATTGTTTCTATAATTGGTATCAGAACAGGAGATTGTGTAATACATACGCATATATTCTGTCGAGCTTACTAGGGTTTTGAGTAGTTGTCAGATCTGCTCTAGCCGTCTCTATCATTTTCATCGATTGTAGATGTTAGATCCGGGTCTTCATTTTTATCCAAATCTTGATTAGTATTTCACACATCTGATTCATTACAGTTTCGATAATATTGTCAAAGATAAATCCAGAAGGTCCACAGACTCTATCTTTCAATATTTCTAGCTGCATTGGCTTGACAACCAGGATCCCAATCCTATTCCCACAAGACTATGAAGTGTGGGCGCTACACTTTGAAGACTACGTCCTTGGTCTTGAGGATAATGGAACCCTAATATGGGAGGCAGTGATAGTTTAGACTTGCATTCTGGTACAAGAAAAACCATTAAGACTCGAGCTGAATACAAACAAACTTCTTACTGTTAAGGACGTTGCACAAGACGAAAAGGAAAAGTTGCTGAGGAACATAAAGGTTATGAGGATAATCAGGTTTGCCTTGCCTCCAGACACGTTTCGTTTGGTAAGTTCATGTGAAACTGGGAAGGAAATATGGGACAGGTTGAAAGACCTTTA